ATTTATTCCCACCGAGTCATGAAACTCACAAGGTCACCTTGGGCCACTAGTTACTCTCTAGGATTGTTCTGAGAATAGAATGAGGAGGAAAAGGCAGGATATAGATGTAACTAACACATAAAAACTCTCTCACCTCTGACAAAAGGATTCTGCATATATGTATCAGGTGCCCAAAATGAGCACTCCTGGCTGATGTCATATATAATTTTCACAAAATGACCCATTTAAAAGAAGGCATTTACAGTGAGTAAGCCATACAGTTAAATGCAACCTATCATTAACAACGATGTCTATACATGCATCCAAAAAGTGAGCCAGAAGTGCTCGTCTTGTCTCATGGTAATTCTCTTTAGATGACACATTTGCTACAAAACTGTAAGCCATTTAAGCCTGATTATACTCACTGGACTCTGTTAAGTTCCACTGATTCCAGCTCAAAGAAGTGTGCTAAAAGTCTTGTTTGGTGTACTAGCTTGGGGACCCGGTGATGCCTGGGTTACTTGAGAAAGGCATGTCTTGTTTGTCTTGGGAAGTTTAGTAATATTTCTGGATGCGGGGTGAACTACAACTCCTATGTAGGTGGCTCATTCCCCCCCCAACTCTTCCACATACACACAAACACATTTTCACTTTTATTATGTATATAGATTTGAGCTTGTCCCATTGAAAGTGTTTGAAGTGTAAAAAAAAACCCATAAAATTTTGGGACACCAGTTAATATAAAAAAGAAGTAGTATGCACCAAGGATCATATTGTTATTGGAGCTGAAAGCACACAGAGGTTTCACTTAGGCCGCTTCCACACTGCCATATAAAATCCAGAATATCTGCTTTGAACTAGGTTATATGCTAGTGTAAATTTTGGGCCCTTTCACACAGTCCTATATCCTAGAACATCAAGGCAGAAAATCCCATATTATCTGAGTGTGGACTCAGATAACCCAGTTCAAAGCAGATATTGTGGGATTTTCTGCCTTGATATTCTGAGATATAGGACTGTGTGGAAGGGCCCCCATATGAAGGTAATGTTTCCCCTAGTCATGTCTGACTCTGAGGGGTGGTGCGAAGTGAAAGAGCTGGCATAGTCTGTAGGCACCTCCTAGGTCATGTGGCCAACATGACTACATGGAGTGCCGTTACCTTCCTGCAGAAACTGTGCCCATTAATCTACTCACATTTGCATGTTTTTGAACTGCTAGGTTGGCCAAAGCTGGAGCTAAAAGCAAGAGCTCATCCCACTCCCCAGATTCGAACCTATGACCTTACGGTCAGCAAGTTCAGCAGCTCAGCAGTTTAACTCATTGTGCCACCAGGGGGGCTGAAACTCATGTGATCCAGTTCAAAGCAGATGTGGATTATCAGCTCTGATAATCTGGATTATATGGCAGTGTAGAAAGGGTGTCAGTTCAAAGACCTGAACCCAGAAAATGAGGACAGGTTAGAGAGCATAAACTCCCTGGTTGCAACAGCTTAACTACCAATTGATTTCAGGACACCATTTTAATTGCTGGTTTTGACCTATAAAGCCCTGTATGATTTGCATCCAGGCTAGCAAAAGGATAGTATCTTCCTATATGAATCTGTACTATGCTACTTTGCTACCACTGGGAACAGACCTTCGCAGGCTGAATCCACATTGTAGAACGAATGCAGTTTGACAATACTCCAACCAGATAGTAGCCTAACAGGCCTGGGCCAACCTGGGCAATCCAGGTGTTTTGGACTTCAACTCCCACAGTTTAAATCCAAAACACCTGGATTGCCCAGCCCTGATATATAATGTTACTATAATGTTCAGTCAGCAGTATCAGCAGCTCAACTGTTTAACCCATTACGCTACCCAGGGCTCCGTTGAAGTGTAGGAAAGGGTTAAGGGAGATGCAGTGAGTGGGATCATGCAAATTCCACACCAATGGAAAGAGTAAGAAATACTGGGATGTCTGTGATGGAGAAAACACATAAAATCTAGGATGAAATTGTCCCTGAATGAAAGGATTCTGTTAGAGTTCAGCCTGTGATTGTGTTTCAAAATCATGGTGCTTTGGATGCGGGGAATGATGTCAATGAGATTCAAGATGGAAATGGTTTGGTCAATGGTATTGATGCAGAGGATGACATAGTCACACCGGTTCAAAGTGTAGTTTCCCATGAGAATGTTCCTACAGGGTATAGGGATGATGCTTTACTCCCTGAATTGCTCCCAGAAAGTTCTTAGGATCTGAAAACAACTTGGCACCTGCAGAAACTAATGAGCATATAGACAGGCGGGTGGAAATTAGCCAAAACAGACAGCTCGGCCAAAGCCTTCGGCGTTCCGCCAGGCTTTGACAGATAAGGATGAGAGGCATTCAGGGAAAACAAAACCAATTTCTGAGTGCTTGGAATGGCTTAACGAGGGGACATAAAGTTCCAAGCGTGGGAAATACAGTCAGATGAAGCATCGTTTTAGAATCCTGCTAAGTTCTGGTTCTTGCCTCATGGAAATTTTTTCTGGAAGATTTATGTTTAAGGATTTCTTGTTCAACGGTTTGACTCTTGGTTCTGGTGGTTGTATACCTATGCCTTGGATCAACGTTTCCTAGTTCTCTGGATTTTGTTAGAGAAGAGTGGGCTTTGTTTTTGGACTTTGCTGAACTTTACCTTGGACTAATTTGTTCCTGCTTATCTTCTTTCCTAATTGGATTTACCTATTCCTTTAAAGTGTTTTTTTCCTTTACTTTGCTGCTTTTACTTATCTTCAATAAAATTATTGTTTTTTTCCCTACTCAATGTGTGGTGTTTAAAATAAGAGGGCTATTCCTGTCCTGAAGTGCAAGTTTCCTTGGGTGGCGGGATTGGGGACATGGGTAGGCTCTGGCCCCTCGACTCTGGAACTCTCTCCCTAAGGACATCAGGCAGGCCCCGTCGCTAGCAATTTTTAGGAGGAGCTTGAAAATGTGGTTGTTCCAGTGTGCCTTCCCAGAATAAGGAAACTCCTAGCATTATGTCCCAACGCACTTTATCAGAGATCCAGGATATCTGCATGCCCATCCCCCTCCAAACACCTCATCTGGTCATGCCCAGCACTTTTTAAATTTAATTATTACATTTGGCCCTGACATTGTTTTTAATTGCGTCATTGCGTGTTGTTAATGTTATTGCCTTGTTTATGAGTTTATTTATTGTTGTATTATTGTTGTTTTTACTGATGTATTTCGGCTCAGCCTCTTGTAAGCCGCACCGAGTCCTTCGGGAGATGGTAGCGGGGTACAAATAAAGGTTTATTATTTATATTATTATTATTATTATAACCTGAAATGTCATTGGAGGGGGGGGGGGGGCTTTAGGTGGCCCCTCAGGACTGTGGGTTAAAGCTGTTTGTGGAAGTGGGTGCCTGTCTGTGGAAGTGAACACTCCAGCCACATACACATTTTCACTTTTACACATATATACATTATACTTTTATTATATGTAATGTGTATGTGTAATGTGTATATGTATGGTATGTATACATAGATCAGGGGTCCTCAAACTAAGGCCCGGGGGCCGGATGCGGCCCTCCAAGGTCATTTACCCGGCCCTCGCTCAGGGTCAATCTAAGTATGAAACTACTTGAAAGCACACAATAACAACAACAATCCTATCTCACCAGCCAAAAGCAGGCCCAGACTTTCCATTGAAATACTAATAAATTTATATTTGTTAAAATTATTCTTAATTTTAATTATTGTATTGTTTTAAAAATGTTTTTGCACTATAAATAAGATATGTGCAGTGTGCATAGGAATTCATTCGTATTTTTTTCGAATTATAATCTGGCCCGCCAACAGTTTGAGGGACTGTGACCTGGCCCTCTGTTTAAAAAGTTTGTGGAACCCCTGACATAGATAGATGTATAGATAGATAGAAGAAAGATAGAAATAGGCCTATAACATCACTCCAATGAAGTTCCATCTTTGGAAAGAGCTTGCTGTGTTGCGTAAGGGCCTTCCAAGTTGTTGTTAATGTCCAAAGCACAACTACATTACAAGGCCATGTATACTGACTCTTGGAATATATCTCATTCAATGCAATCAAACCGTTTTAGGCTTCCTGACTGTGAGAGCCATTCAGCAGTGGAACTCTCTGCTCTGGAGTGTGGTGGAGGTTCCTTCTTTGCAAGCTTTTAAACAGAGGCTGGATGGCCATCTGTCAGGGGTGCTTTGAATGCAATATTCCTGCTTCTTGGCAGGGGGTTGGACTGGATGGCCCATGAGGTCTCTTCCAAGTTGTTGTTAATGTCCAAGCACAACTACATTACAAGGCCATGTATACTGACTCTTGGAATATATATCTTTCAACGCAATCAAACCGTTTTAGGCTTCCTGACTGTGAGAGCCGTTCAGCAGTGGAACTCTCTGCCCTGGAGTGTGGTGGAGGCTCCTTCTTTGGAAGCTTTTAAACAGAGGCTGGATGGCCATCTGTCAGGGGTGATTTGAATGCAATATTCCTGCTTCTTGGCAGGGGGTTGGACTGGATGGCCCATGAGATCTCTTCCAACTCTAAGATTCTATCATTTCTTAAAAATCATAGAGGGATTCAAGAGCCTTTTCCTTCTTTTTCTTCTCCTCTCATGACAAAATCGTCCCTTCRCCTCAGCGGCCATTTGCTGAATGCGCGAGACCGAGAAATGTCTTTCGACGCATGCGCAAAAAGAGGACGAGAACGCGCTTACTCAGCGGCGCGCGCTCACAACACATTTCTCTTTCTCTCTCRCCCCCCCCCCCCCTTTCTTCTTCTTATCGCGAGAGCCTGTTTTGGGGAAGACATATACTTTTCTCTACGCATGCGCACGGAGGACAAGAACGCGCTTATTCAGCGGCGCGCGTTCTTTTGGGGAAGACATYTAATTTTCTCTACGCATGCGCACGGAGGACAAGAACGGGCTTATTCAGCGGCGCGCGGTCGCACACTCTTCTCGCGAGAGGTTCTTTTGCCTCCTTTCCCTCCTCCCTCCAACTTTAATATATCTTGTGAGGGCAGAATAAACAAACAGCACGAAGTGCGCATGCGCGGGTGTAACAACACAAGCTTTTCCTCTCTGTGTCTCGAGCCAGAGCAAGCGCGGCCAGTCAGTCAGTCAAGTCATCCAGGCTACGGTGGCGGTTAAGCGTTTGCAGGCCTCCTCCAATCGGAAACCACGCCAAAGAGGGAGGGAGGGAGGGCAGCGGCGGAGGCGGGGCCTTTATTTAGCCCCGCCCCTTTCTTCGGCCTCGCCATCAGTGGCGGCGGCGGTGGCGCCTCAAGCTTTCACCCAGTCTTCCTTTCCTCGCAAACTCCGGCGGGCGTTTAGGCCTCAAGGGCTCGGGACCGAACTAGGCCGCGGGGAAGGCCTTCTCAGAGGTGGGACGAGCCAGAGGCGGAGGCGGTGACGTCGGCGCGGCTGGTTTCCGGAGGAAGGAGCGCGAGAAGAGAGCGAGAGAGGCAGGCAGGCTCCATCCTCCGCAGGGAGGGAGTGCGGCGGCGGCAAGGCCCGGCGGAGAAGGCGGCGGAGAAGAAGGCGGAGGAGGAGCAGCAGCAGCAGCTGGAGCCCCGGCCAAGGCAGCGACACCGACGGAGCAGCGCCTCCCGCCCCTCGCCCACCAACCATGGCCCTCAAGCGCATCAACAAGGTGAGGAAGTAGGCCTCGCTCTTTCGGCACTTCCGCCTTCGCCGGGTTATATATATATATATATAAGGGGGGGGGGGAGGTTGGATTGGGTGTTGACATAAAGGCAAGAGATACTACTCCTTCGCCGCCTTGGGCCTTGCTTGGACGACGTTACTGCGTGGATTATCTCGACGACGAAGCTTCCCTGGACTGGGCCTTGTTATGGCAGCAAGATTTGGGTCAATCTGTGGAATTGTGTTAGTGTGTGTGGGGGGGAGAGAGGTTTAAACCAAACCCACAATGTTTTTGTCTGGATTCCCAAGCCTCCCGTGGATCGGGCCTTATGATGGCGACGTTTCCCCAAATTTCCAGTTGGGCCCTTCCACACAGCCCTATGTTCCAGAATATCAAGACAGAATAACCCACAATATCTGCTTTGAACTGGGTTGTCAGAGTCCACAACTGGGATTTTCTGCCTTGATATTCTAGGATATAGGGCTGTGTGGAAGGGCCCTAAGTGGGATCCACCTCCATAGTCTCTGGGATTAATTTTTACAGGAGAATCTGGGATATAGGGCTGTGTGGAAGGGCCCTAAGTGGGATCCACCTCCATAGTCTCTGGGATTAATTTTACAGGAGAATCTGGGATATAGGGCCATCCAGTCCAACCCCCTGCCAAGAAGCAGGAATATTCTCAGGGTCCTTCCATACAGCCCTATAACCCAGAATAGCAAGGCAGAAAATCCCACAATATCGGCTTTGAACCGAGTTATCTGAGTCAACACTGCCATATATTCCAGTTCAAAGAAGAAAATACGGATTTTAATTCAGCCGTGTGGAAGGTACCCAAATTCAAAGTAGGTAATGTGGGATTTTTTGCTCTGATAATTCTGGGATATTGGGCTGTGTGGAAGGGCCCTGAGCTACGTGAGTCTATATATCCCAGTTCAAAGCAGATAATGTGGGATTATTTTCAGCTGTGTGGCAGGGACCAGAGAGACACAGGGGTTCCTTTTCCTATTCCAAAGCAGATTGCTAAAAATTGTAAAATTATCAGGCGGCTTTTGCCATATATAACAGGCATGGGAAAACTTGGTCCTTCCAGGTGTTTTGGACTTCAATTCCCACCATTCCTAAGAGCCTCAGACCCCCTCCTTTCCCGTTTAAGCAGAGGCTGTTAGGAATGGTGGGAGTTGAAGTCCAAAACACCTGGATGGACCAGGCTTTCCCATGCCTGTTATATATGGCAAAAGTCGCCTGATAATTTTACAAATTTTAGCAATCCACTCTAGAATGGGAAAAGAAACTCCTGTGTTGCTCTGGTCCCTGCCACACAGCTGAATATAATCCCACATATCTGTTTTGAACTGGGATATATGGCAGTGTGGACTCATGTAGCTCAGGGCCCTTCCACACAGCCCTATATCCCAGAATTATCAGAGCAGAAAATCCCACATTACCTGCTTTGAACTTGGGTACCTTCCACATGGCTGAATTAAAATCCCGTATTTTCTTCTTTGAACTGGAATATATGGTAGTGTGGACTCAGATAACCCAGTTCAATGCCAATATTGTGGGATTTTCTGCCTTGATATTCTGGGTTATAGGGCTGTATGGAAGGGCCCTGAGATATATGACACTGATCACAGGGCCCTTCAATGCAGCTCTATATCCCAGAATTATTAAGGCAGAAAATCCCACAATATCTTCTTTGAACCGGAATATATGGCAATGTGGACTACGGGCCCTTCCACACAGCCCTATATCCCAGAAAATCAAGGCAAAAAATCCCACAATATCTTCTTTGAACTGGGATATATGGCAGTGTGGACTCGGGGCCTTTCCACACTGCCATATAACCCGGTTCAAAACAGATGATGTGGGATTTTATTCAGCTGTGTGGAAGGGGCCTCAGAGCTCTTCCACACAGCCCTATATCCCAGAATATCAAGGCAGGAAATCCCACAATATCTGCTTTGCACTGGGTTATCTGAGTCCAAACTCAGATAATGTGGGATTTTCTGCCTTGATATCCTGGGATATAGGTCTGTGTGGAAGGGCCCTCAGATAACCCAAGTCAAAGCAGATATTATGGGTTATTCTGCCTTGATATTCTGGATTACATGGCAGTGTGGAAGGGCCCTCTATGTTTGTGTGTGTGTATGCGCCTGTTTATGTGTTGAATCCGCCTTTCCCCTTCACTGCTTTCTGTGAACTTCTTTCCCGCATTGCAAGATGGCGGCGGGTTTGCCTAGCTAGTTCAGCTGCTTCCCCTCTCTCTTCCCCTCTCTCCTCTCTAGGTTTCAGTGTGTACAGCACTGACACGCAGAGATCTCCCTACGCAGCTCCCGGTCTCCCCCGATCTTCTTTTGTTATAGACCCAGAATGGATGCCTTTTCCCCCCCCTGCCTCTGCTCTTGACAAGGAGCGGAAGTCTGTGGCGGCTGTGTGTGATGCATGGAGAATTTCGTTCTTGCACAATCTAGAAGGAGGGTGGAGTAACAGAGCTAATTTGAAGCTAGTGTCGTGGTGGCGGAAGAGGAGGAAGTCAGCGCTTATTCCGAGTGCAAGCCTGGCTCATAGTAGCAGAGGGTGCGGCTTAGGTAATGCCTTCTCCTTCGCCCTCCCAGTTTCGCTAGTGACGTCCTCTGTAAACTGAAGCGGGGGTCAGCCTTGAAGGAAGTCTGCCCTGCTGGGATCTGAGGAAGGTGACAGAATTTTAGCTGCTATAAGCGGTTTGGGACTATTGCTCGCCAACTAAAAACACCATCATGTCTTTTCTAGGCAAAGTGCTTCTTTGACGTAGCCACCTTTGCTTGCCAGAGGTTTGCTGAACTTGCAGTGTCAGCGTCAAACACAGCCCTTACTACAGCTCTACGTAGGCAGAATTAGTATTACATCTTGATAGGATTTTCCTCTTCTGAGCTTGCTTTCAAACTTGTTTTCCTCAAAGTAGAGAGCATAACTATTAAGGGAGTTACCTTGCTCTAATTAGTTCTGTCAGCAACATGGAGGCACGATGTTTAACACGCTGACTCTGAAGTGTTTTGATTATTAGCATTGCGTGAGTACATGTTGAAGAATTGGAAGAGAAAGCCAAGTGGGGAAGATAAAAAAATATGTGATTCTGCTTGTATTTGCCCCATTTTAATTTGCAATCAGATTCCTTACAGCTCCTAGAAGTACCAGTGAGTATGCTCAGTGGCTATGGTTTTAGGATGTTGAACCCAAAGCAACAGAGTACTAGATTTGTCTCCTCTCACAGAGTGGTCGTTAAGAACCATAGAGTTGGAAGAGACCTTGTGGGCCATCCAGTCCAACCCCCTGCCAAGAAGCAGGAAAATCACATTCAAAGCATGCCTGACAGATGGCCATCCAGCCTCCTTTTAAAAGCCTCCAAAGAAGGAGCCTCTACCACACTCAGGCAGAGAGTTCCTGTATTCATACTTTGAGTAAGCACATGGAAATAACAACTTAAGCCATAAGTAATTTGAACATACTGATTTCAGAGGGCCTACTCTGGGATAGGAATCATGTGTCCTTTCAGATGGTGTTGGACTGGATGCCCCAGCATTCCATGCAAATTGGCAGTGCAGACTAAGATTGCTGGAATTTGCAGTTTAGGGTCAGGTGATTCTTGCCTCTGTTCTACAAAGTATGATAGTCTAGTTCTAGCTGTAGTCTCTTTGGATTCTCCAGATAAAAATATCCTCTCGTGCCAAAGCCTGTTATAGCCTGAAGTTTGGACACTCAACATTTTGATATAATTATGTCCAGTTTTTATCCCCTCAGTCTTGGCCTCTGCACAATTCATACTAGACATTTTGACTTCTGGCATACCTTTTCAAGTAAGAATTGCTGGGAAAATGTTATGTGAAAGTTTTCAGTAGTTCTTGTGGGCCAACCCCCCCGCCCCAGAAATGTGAATTAGGTTAAAAGATCTCTTCATTATGTAAGACAGTTTTGAAATAATGAATCTCATCTATCTTCAAGTACTAAAATTTACATTATCATGTTGCACTAATTCCTCATCAAGCCTCTTACAATGCTTTTCTTTAAATGTTTAAATATGCCTTTTCTTAAGTTATTCCCTTCAAGGTACATAAAATACAATATTAAGTTGATAGCTTGGAGTGTAAATTTCTGTACAAGGCCAAAAATTCTGAAACTTTCATTTAGTGTTGACTTTTATTTGGCACATCTGCATTGTATACACTTGAGTCTGGATTTGTTGCTGTGTTTATTTGCCTTGGTTTAATGGTCATCCTAAAGTGAAATTTATCATAGGGTTTTTGGGGCAGAATTTGTTCAAGGGTTTTGTCCTTGCATATTTCTCAAGTGCAGTTTGCTCAAGGTCACCAGTGGGCTTCCATGGTCGAACAGGAATTTGAACATTTGATCTCAATCAGTTCCCAGTGTTCAAACCATTGCTCTACATTTGACTAAATACCAAGTTACGTATGAGAAGAGAAGTAGTAGCTTTGGATTGTTGATGTAACACTTATCTATCTTAATTAAATCAGAGAGGAAAATCCACAAATGAATAGGTTGAAAAATTATATGAAGATGTTCAAGTGTGTAATGAGTGCTCGTGTAAAGACAATCCTAAAAGTGAATCCTATAGATCAGTGTTCCAGCCATGGCTCTCTAGGTGTTTTGGACTTCAGCTCTCTCAATTCCTGACAGTTGTTCAAGCTGATTGGGAGTTGAAGTCCCAAACACGTTGAGGACCAAAGGTTGGGAACCATTGCTATAGATGACTCATTGTAGTTCCTGTATTAGTGTAGCTGAGTTAATGGAATTACATGTCAGGGACCAGTTTTCCTCATACCTACAGATCTTCAGTGTGGAAACATACGGAATTTTTCCAGCATTAATTATAATAATGAGGGCGAACAAACTGAAATTAAATCCAGACAAGACAGAGGTACTCCTGGTCAGTTGCAAGGCCGAGCAGGGTATAGGGTTACAGCCTGTGCTGGACGGGGTCGCACTCCCCTTGAAGGCGCAGGTTCGCAGCT